CAGCGTTGACTAAGACGTATATTTACTTGTCCCCACTTATGTTCTCGTTCACTGCATTACTACTCTGACTACCATGAGTATGAACTAATCAATCCACAGTGACTCAATATCTGTAAATGTAAAAGTTAATTCATTTAAATTTACCGATCGACACAAAACATCAATGACTACAAATAGGTACATCTACATCATTGTGTTACCAAAGTATCATCATCACCATCATTAAGTCATGATTACCATTACTGTGTAATTGCATGTTGTTGCTTAATTTCTTCTTTTTTTTTGTTTTGTTTTTATTCTTGTAAAGTGTAGTAGTATTAGTTCTTCATATAGTTAGTTTATGTATAAAATGCATGTCTATAGCTTTTCATTAGGAACAAACAAACAAACAAACAAACCATACTGTTTCAATAGTGCTGTCTAGATTTAGTTCCGCTTTGTATTTCTTATCATCTTTATATATTAGTTGTTAGTTTATTATATCATGATTATCATCTTCATTTTTTTAGAATTGATTCATATGTCGTATATTGGTTAATTGTATTGTGTAGTATCCTTATTCATTGGTGTATCTTGGCAACAAAATGTAGTTCAAATATGTTTATGTGAATAGAAATCATAATAAGTAGTATATAATATGATTAGTGATGATTTATGAATTAATTCAAAGAATATGATCTAATGTGTATTCGAAAGTTGTTTATAAAGACAAACATTGAAGAGATCGGTTTTCAGGCTAAACTAAACTATCTAGTCTTTGATATACATACATAAATATAATGGACATTATAAATGGACTGATTGATTCAGTCAGAAGCATGTAAACAGTTAGCTTCCCAGCTAATTTGTTTATTTATTTGAACACTTAATTATTGATACAAAGGGTCAACGAATACATATGCACCACACAAGTCACTTGATTTGTATATGGGCTATGATACTGCACGGGTGCTCAGACTGAAGCAGTTAGTTTTCTTAGGGGGCCACACCCAGAGCCTTCTACCTAAAGGTCTGATCCAAAAGGCAGTGGAACAACGTCAGGAGATGCGATTCCATGGTAGCCGGTGACCAACTGTAAGTTCATATACCGTTTGTTCCTTAAAGATCATGGAGCTCATGTACACTATTGATTTGGAATCAGGGTTTCCTAACTCTTCCAGATGTACCCTCTGTGTCCATCAACTCACTTCATGCACCAGACATTCGCTTTTCATCCCCTCAATTTCATAAACAACACTCATGCTGTGAGAATGCAGTGAATAGGACTTCCCTGACAGTGGCTTCATACGCGTGGTTATGTGAGAGTATTTTGAGATAGGAAGCTGACTCCCCCTATCCTTCCACGTACCCGGACATTTGGGGGCGGCTGGGAATGCATATTTTTGTCGTTTCGTTTATAATGAAAACAGACAGGAAAGAATGTTTTCAAATATTTTGTTCTTATGGCTTACATTTTTTATAATTTCCAAATTTCATTGTGTCCAAGGGACCAATAGATGATATAATTCTTTGTCTAAATAGGCTAGGCAAACATTTTATGCTGTTAAACATTGATTAATACTTATGAGTCATAAACAACTTTCTGTAAACGGCAAAGATAAACTTCATTGTTTGATCATTTATCTTTGTACTGCAATTGATTGATCACCGGGTGTTGATCAATATCATATGTGTTAGGTCCTTGTAAGTGCAGATCGAATTCTACCAACCAAGTTGCAATGTGGCCACTAGTCAACAAAAAACCATGGACCTAGGTTTCGTGCTATTTGGTATATATGACATTGATCACCAACTTGTGATCAGTTAATTGTAAATGCATCTCAGTGCTATAGGATGTCAGTCGTTGTTCGAATAGACCATTGATAACGTCTCTGACTATGAAGCTCGGTGACACGTGACCAAAACCATCAGGGAGAATCAGTTTACTCAAGATTACAGATGTACCATGCTGACGAGTGCCAAAATAGCTTGAAACTTAGTTCTAAGGTTTTCTATCGACTATCTCCAGACGCCATCTTATCTTTGTACTGATTAATTTCCTTGATTATTCAAGTAAGTTTAATCATGAATAGGAAGGATTTTCTTTCAAGATGTACACTTAGACATATTCTGACTTAATGAAAATGTTTAAGAATTCAATGCTTGAACACTGTACTAGTTAAAGTTTTTTAAAGAGCTAGTTTTCTACGGGATGGGGTCGCTAACCCCATACCCAACCCTCCTCCTTTAACCGAGCTTGCGACTTTCAGCAGTCCTAGAAGTGCTCCAGGCGGAGTTGAACACTGCACTAACTTCATGTAATTTTCAAGGTAAAAATGAATCATTTGTTTTGATTAAAATGAATGAATTGTCAAGATGTTTATTTCACACTTATTCTTTAATTATGCACATTACTTAAATGTCATAGAATGTTTATCATAGTGATTTATATTATCCAACTTAAAAAATAAAAACAATCAAAGCTAAAAACGTCTACTAACTAATATCAGTTGTATTCACGTGGTGTCGTGCACTTATATCTTGTCATTGTTTGGAATTTGAAGCTGATGGTACTGGATTCTAGTCCCAGAGTGAACATCAACTCTCAGATAAAGCTACATTCAGCTGACGAGTCCTAAATAGGACGGAACGCGTGTCCTGGATTCCACTGCTAGCCACTATCCACCTTTATAATATCAATTGTTTAAATGGTTTGCTGGTGGTTGGAGGTAGTCAACAGGAAACCCTGGACCAGGGTTTCGTGCTGCTTGGCACTCGTCAGCAAGGTGTACCTGTAATCTTGAGGGAACTGTTGCTCCCTGGCGGATTCGATCTCGTGTCACCCAGCTTCACAGTCAGAGACGTTACCACTGAGCTATCCGAGCCGTGAAGAAAGAAAATCTAATGAATCATTAGATCTACAATCTTCACGTACTGTTTATTTTTAGTACTAAAAGAGGCTGTTCACGATCAGTATAGGGTTTTGTAGAGATTGTAGAGTGTTTATTAAGATCATGAATTGATCAATGTTAGATCGCTATTGAAAATCTAGGAGCATTAGACAACTGTATGGGACTTCTCAGCAATGGGTAGTACGGGATCGTAGGTGTTAGTGATATTAATGATTGTAAACTACGTATCTTTAGTTTATTAAATAATTGGTGTGACATCGTAATTCAGTGTTACAGTTGCACATCTGATAGCCCCGAATGTATGCATTGTGCATTCACACAAGAACATTCAATGATCCGTAATACTAATTCATTAAAGTCCTTGTGGTTATAGAAACCGTAAGATATCGTATTAGGCCGATAATTAGAGACATTCAGGTGTGTTTGTCAACCATCTCTATACTGCATACCTAACCACACTTAACTGCTCACTTCATTCCTAATACTGTGAACTTAGTCCATCGTCTGTGTGAACCGTCTATGGTGTATCCTAATAAATGTCCTACATGTTGTAGCCATAATTGTACACTAAGCTAAATGGTCCATAGGGTCCCTAAATCTCCTTCAACCACTCGGTATGGAGCCAATAAATTGTGTGGAAAGAGATGTGAAGCAGTCCTTGGACGGGGTAAACTTATTCCATAGTAGAAGAATCAGAACGTCAAGATGTAAATGAAGATTAAAAATCATATATCCGTAAAATATTCAATCTAGTTGTCACTAACATTAAAGACAAGATTGATATCTTGTTGTCGATTTGAAATTGATTGTATTCAATGAAAAATTACATCACAAAAAAATACTCAATTGTTCTTCATTTTCAATTCCATTTTATACGTTATGAATTACATGGACCTACAGAACATTTCAGTAACTAAGTGAATATGTATAATGTTTCAAGTTATAATCAGAGGATTGGTTGAAATTAGACATTAACACCGTTGGATACCAAGTGGCTCAATGGTCTAGAGGTTATTCGCTCACGAGTGAGACCGATAGATCTTGGGTTTTAATCTCGTGAGATGGGATCGTAGATGTGCACTTCTGAGGAGTCCCATAATAGGACGTAATCGCCATCTAATGTTTCCAGATTTTTCATGATGATCTAGATTCAATTAACTCGTGAATTCAACTATCATAAATGTTTCAAGTTATCTTTACTAAATAGTGACTAGCTTCGGGAGGAAATCCTCGGAGTTCTGGTAAGAAGCCGTAACCAGTGGAGATAATCCGTGTCGGGTCGAAACATGTGTCTATCTCAGTAGAGTGGAAGATGGTCGCGCAATTTCGTAGATTGGTTGAGGTTAGACACTATCATCATTATAAATAAAAATAATATATTTGTAATATCCCAATGAGTAGAAAATTGGATTTTCTGACGTTTCGTGACTTAGTGTAAGTCACTTCTTCAGAGAACAATTTGGTTATTTGTTCTCTGAAGAAGTGACTTACACTAAGTCACGAAACGTCAGAAAATCCAATTTTCTACTCATTGGGATATTACAAATATATTATTTTTATTTATAACAATGAACCCAATGCTCAATTTATTCGAAATTATCAAATCAAACCTTGGTAATGACACCTACTATCATCATTAGTTGCCGGATTAATGATCCAGTAGGTTAGGCGTTCGCGCGCGAGACTGATAGGCTCTAGGTTCGAATCTCGCGAGGTGAGGGATCGTGGATGCGCAATGCTGAGGAGTCCCATACTAGGACGAAACGGCTGTCTCGTACTTCTAGGTTTTTCATGGTGGTCTAGCTTCAATTGACTAACGATTTTAATCAAAAATAGTTTAAAGTTAAGCTTTTATTGTCATTCTTGACAATATCCTCTTCAATGAATACTTCTTAATCAAATCATTTCACTTAGAGTTTAACAATATCAAAATCCATCTATCTACATTAAAGATTTTTCTAATCTCAATATATCCTATTCATTAAAGTAAGTATTCACAATTCCATATATAGTAGTTTCTTATGTTAAAAGTGTTTATTACATTATACTAACAACTTTTATTAACCTACTTATGATTCATTATTTTGTTTTTTGTTTTTACATTTTTAGAGTACACTAATAGACAATCCCTTCCATTCTTTGACACCTTACTCTTCAATAATAATAATAATACTAATTGGCCTCATTTATCTACCTACCTAACTACTTCATTCAATATGATCGATCTAATTTCACTTCTAATAGTCAAGTCATTTGTTTCTCTCCTCCCCTCTCTCCCCTCTCACTCTTTCTCTCTCTCTCTCTCCCTCTCTGGAAACGTTTAATAACCATAATCATTGTATTCTATATACACATTAATTATACAATTGTAATTATGAATACAAACAAACAAAACAAAAATAGACAGACCAATACCCCCTTTTAATAAAATCATTTAATGCATATTACATTTAACAAAAGAGAAATGTATCCTATTTCTTTTAACTATCCTTTCTTTCTTTTTCTTATGTTGTTGTTGTTGTTCTTGTGATTATTATCGTTATTATTCTCCATTCAATTTTTTCTCAGTTTTACAACGAATAGTAAAATACACACAAAAAAACAGTTTTTCTAAAACGAAAACCCAACAACAATGAAAAGAAAATTTTAAAAAAGAAAATTTAATGATAAAAAATAATAAGTGTAGTCATTTCAATGAATTTAAAAGAAAAAAAACGAGAGAAGAACAAAAAAGAGAAACAAAAAAGAAGAAGAAAGAATTCAAACTACCAATCGAAATAATAAATCCATGTTCAATCTATATTTTTGTTTGTGATTAAAAAAGAAAGAAAAAGAAAAAAAAGAAGAAGAAAAGAAAAAAGATTCAAATAAAAAATTGACTAATATCAAGAAAAGAAACTGAATGAATAAAAAAAGAAAAGAAGAAAAGAAAAACCGACAAAATAAATATCTTAGTAACACATTTTTTTGTTCATTTTTTTCTTCCTTTTTTTTTCATTGTACAACTGCTCAAAATGTTTCTTTTTCTTTATTGTTTTTTTGTTTGTTTTTGTTTTATTCAAATAAAACATTTAACATTTTTATAGGTTTTGTTATATGATGTAAACACTATGTAAGATGAGTAATGAATAAGTGTGGATAAATACGTTTACATGAGTTAGATAATACCATTGTAAATGGTGGAGAAGATTAGTAGCTCAGATGGATGATTTTGATGGAGTATTGTCCTTTGAGCTGGATGGTTTGAAGCTTTTATCGTTCTTCTGAACAACATCATCATCAAGGCAAACTTCAGATAGAAATGATTTTATATTTGGTTTTCAGGAGAATTAGAAACTATCCAGATAATCACACGACAACTCAAACAGTACTGTTTAATCCTGTTTAACAAGAGAGCCAGATAACGCATAGGCTTAAAATTGGTAGCTCAAATAGTACGGCTCAATCCAGTTTCTAGGAGAAGCAGACATAATTCAGGCTTAAACTTTATAATCTGATCAGTACAGCTCAATCTTGTGGCGCAAACACACAGGTATCAAGCATCGAGGTGGACCAATGTGTACATTAGACAACTCATTATTAGTAGATAAGGTTTGTGGAAGTTTTCAATTGTGAAGGTAAAATACATCATTGAGTGACTTGTCTGAACTGACTAATTAGAAATCACATACTGTATGACAGGGGTTTCAGCTTGATAATGAACATCATAGAAATTTGTACTTCCAATGTCATTTAAAATCGTACTTAGGACCTGTGCGTTCTCTGATCTTCCACTTCTCCTTTGGCGTTGAGGATTCCAAGTGAAGGCTTATCTTGTGATGCAGTTGGGTGCTTTCCTTAATGTTTGTCCCATCCAATTCCAACACTTCTTTCTGGTTTCTTCCCCCATTGAGATCTGGTTTTTTCTCTCCCACAGTGGGTTGTTGCTGATAGTTGCCGATGGCCGACGGATCCGAAGTAATGTAACTGTTAATAAACGCCTTCTTTGTTCTCCAAGTGTCCGCCCCATACAGTAGAACTGTCTTGACATTTGTATTGAAAACATATTCACATACATATATTAGAAAGTAAATTGATGATGAATCGTTTATGCTAGTACACGGTAAATAACAAACTTTATACTCAGAATAATATGTAGTCTGAGTTCAAATGAGAATTGAATCCGAAAACCATTTCAGATAAGAGCATGTTATTGTGGGTACAACATTTCTATAAATCTCGACAATCCCCTATATATTTAAAAGACTTTATCACTACAGTTCAAGATGTTATCACAGTACTTATGCCTGATCTTATCAAAACTATACCGTTCCTTATTGTTTTTGATAACGAACTAGATACATTCATTTTGTAGTGAAGGACCTCATGAATTTTTAGACCACTGAGCCAAAACAGACTAATGAAAGTACTCAAAGAGATGTATCTTATAATATTCAGAAAAATCTATTCTACAATTAATAGCAATGCTACTATGAATTCTGATCTTTTCATCTTAGTTTCAATCCATTCCATATTTCTGGTAGGTGAACATTTAAATAAATGTATCTAATATAATTCTCATTTACGTTATGTGACATCAACTGTTAAATTCATTCATCAATATACCTCATGAAAGCCTAGATTCTCAGCATTCATAATTTTCACATTTTACCCTTGATTATACACCTTATGTATAGTTGTCTTCAAAGAACTATACTGTAGCGAAGGAGAACAGTAGTGAAGACAACCGAATTATATTTAGCACAAAATTACAGAGTTACTTGGTAAAATAGAAAAACCATACTATAATATCGAATTTGCAAAAATGTTCAATAATTGTCTAACTTCATTGTTCTTGTGTTTCCATACTAATTGTTTTCGATTCCCGCTCTTCCTTTCTTGATCTTCCCCATCTTCTGCTGCCAGACATTACATCCCTGACTAGCATCATATACTACTTATATCAATATAAGTCGCACGCACCATAATACTTTCAGATTGAAACTCTATATTAAACGGACTACTGAACGCTATGTATTTATTTGAAGAAAAATCATATATTGATTTGATATTATTTACTTGAATCTTCCCATTGATGTTTAGGACTGTAACTGATCAATCTCTTAGTGGCATATGTGGATACAGTATGGATTGCCTCTTCATTGCCTTAATTCATAAGCATTATAAACAAAAATGGAAAATGGCTAGCAGAGGATGGCAAGAATCATGTTTCATCTTTTTTTAGACTCGTAGGTTGGATGTACCTGAATCTCAGAGTTGATGTTTAATCCTGAACATCAATGAGACGTTTCAAGGAAACAATACTAATTAAGTTAAAACTTCAACCTATTACACAAGCAATTGATTATCAATATTCAATAGATAAATAGATCATGTGTTAGTGTTTGAAATAAACAATACTGGGTTCGAGTCTAAGAGTGAACATCAACTCTGATCTTAACTAAGATGAAATGCATCACTTGAATTCTATTATTATCTACTATTATTTATCATCTTCTCAAATAATCTTCTACATATAAATGATTCAAAAATAGATTAAAAACAAAAAAAAAACAAAAAAGAGAGAACAATTTGCAATTAATACACATTAAGTAAATCATATAGGAACTAAGTATTTGTCACATGAATAAAAATCTTTTTCTTTTTCTTTTTTTTGCTTTTTTCTTTCTCTTTTTTTGTTTTTTCTCTTTTTTCTTTCTTTTACATTCATACATAACGAAACTTGATTATAAATCTATTCCATAAGAACTAAGTAGATTGATTGACAAGTAAACTAATCATTACTATTAATGATTATGACAAGAATAATCTTCTAATTACTTTTATTATATATAATCTTACTGATTATGATAATACATTCAAATTAACAGCAAATATCTACATGGTATTGTTTTGTTATTATTATTATTATTACTAGTAGTAGTAGTAGTAGTAGTAGTAGTAGTAGTAGTAGTAGTAGTAGTAGTAGTAGTAATGTGAACAGGAACAGTAGCAGTGACAATCGAATGTACTTTTTGATAGAATTAGAGGATCCTCAATTAAGGCCTCCTATGACAAATAACACATTGTTGGGATATTCAGAAAAATATCTTGAAAATTATTATGTTAAGTCTAATGGTAACCTTAGACTTGAAGTCGTATCATTTTCCCATTGGTCAATATTTAATTCACGTGTCATTTTCTTGTTGGGCAAATACTGTACAGTGTTATTTTCTATTTTGTGGTACGTTGTGGTCTGTCTGGTTGATATATAAACCGAGTATGTTTGAAATAAATGATTCATATTAGAGAGGCTCGGATTGGTGTTCTGGACTTAGCTGGCTGGGCTAGGCGGAAATCAGGACTAATCAGAACTCTAGGCTGCTCACACGTGTTTTACGCATCCTTCGTCTGATCGATAATTCGCTGCTCTCTAACCGGCGGTCACAAGTTATAACACACATGAATACACTCATATCTAAAATCTGAGACTTCATGTGAACCAAGTCGTTTTTATCATGCGTTATTCAATATTTATATTCAGACACGTAATGAATAGGGTAATTAATAAATTCACATACGATCATATAAAAACAGTAAGGATTCTTAAGAGAAAAAGTGGTTAACTATCATCTTACACTTGATTGTTACTTCATTTTCACATCAATCTATCTCTGTTTTTGTTCTCATTTCTTCTAAAATCGTTTAAATGTTCTGCCGCTAGGCACTTCATTTTTCATTGGTGATACAAACTGCAGCAAACAAGAACACGAGCATGGACAAACGAATGCAATTAAGCATAACATTACAGAATGTCTCACTAAAATCTCAGAACCATACAGTAAATAGTTAATTTGCAAAATATCAATTCATCATCTCAAACTTGACTGTTCCTTATGCAAATATCAATCCATTGTCTCAGACTTCATTGTTCATGCATTTTCATACGAAGTGCGTTCCGTTTGCGTTCTTTCCTTATCGATCTTCTACTGAAATACATTCTATGTCTGATCACCGTTATATACTACTTATGTGAATATAAGTAACCCACACCACAGTTTCAGTAGTATTAGTATTATTACAATATTAGAATTCTCAGTATAAAGTATTTCAACAAGTTCCTGTCTCTTTTATTTCTTGGTCGATATTGACGATAATTATTGATTGTTCATCAACATATGTTCACTAGTGACTGTTTTCAAGAGGTATGTTCTAGAGTTTTAATGAGAAGCAGTGATCAGTGCAGTTCAACCGGGTGTGTTGTGAGATAGTAACTCACTGAAGACAATGGTGGATGTATCGCGCAATTTTGTGGATTAGTTGAAGTTAGACGTCATTAACACCGTTGGATGCCTACCGGCTCAGTGGTCTAGAGGTTAAGTGCTCGTGAGCAAGACTGATAGGTCCTGGGTTCAAATCTCACGAGGCGGGATGGTAGAAGCGCAGTGTTGAGGAGTCCCACAATAGGACGAAACAGTTGTCCATTACATCCGGGTTTTCCATGGTTGTCTAGCTTCAATTGTCTCATGATCTCAACTATTAAAATTACTATAATATCCACAAAACTCATTCTTATACTAAACAACATATGTGATACGTTCTAACTAATTTCTTGGCTGGACTATAGTTTTTTTTATTTCATCCACTTTAATGAAGTAGGGTTTAGTGGCCAGGTATCTGACGCCAGTAATATCGTTTTTGAATGCCATTGAGATATATATATATCGTTAATACTCGTATATTATCACTGACCTAACACTCGTTAATGAATAACCGAATTAAATAAGCCAAATACGAGGATGTATTTTTGAATACATATATTTCGTACAATCATTGATCCAGATAGACAATCGAAGAATCAAGCGAAAAGAAGAGAGCGAAGCGAAATGACGCTTTAATCAATATTTATAGTCACAAAATTAAGCTACAGACATGTGATGAATGGGATAAGAAGGGCACACTCATATGCGCTCATATAAAACAGTCAAGATTGATAAGTGAATAATTAACAAAGTCAAAATGTAACTCAAGTAAAATGAATAGATTGACCTGTACGAAAGTTAGAATAAGGTATATATGGGCTTAAAAATAATAATCGACAC